GTCAACATCCTCTGCTGACAGCTATGAGCGAACCAGCTGTCAACAATGTCAATGTAGTACCATGCAATGAGCCACATCAAAAATGCAAAGGAATAAACAACTTACATTTGTTTTACAATTTTGCTGTTTCTTTTGTTTTTTGCTGCACAAACAGATGAGAACAGATACTTGATAAATATTAATGAGGTTTATGGTACAGTATGCTTTAGGGAGGGAATATTTCTATGTGCCAATATGTATGAAATTCAGTGCATGGGGCTAAAACTGCTTTTGTCAAATTGATGGTCTGCAGCTGAACTGCTGTTCAGATTAGCCTATTAAATGTTCGGCTTCATTAGGCAAGGCAAAAGCAGAGTTTTATTTACTTTCCAAGACATGCTGCAATGCTGTAAGTAATATGAATATATATGAAATGGCATAGAGTGGGGTCTTACAACATAATGAAGTAAGGTGTTAAAAAATGATCTCTGCACTCCTGAATGGTCTACAAAAGCGTGTGATGCAATGCTATACATATATTACTCATATCAAAAGTTTTCAGCTGATCCCTGCTGGCATAAGGTATGGCTCAAAGAAAAATACACCTCGCCTATTCAGCCAGGCCAGCAACCCCCTCTTAACGCTCCCCTTTCAGAGACATAGACAGGTATCAGGTATTGCAGGCTAACAAAGAACTCAAATGACCCCCATTCCTAATGGGTGGGCCCGCTTGTCAGGTTCAATTTGCATGTTTTCTAAGCCAAAACAAGGCTTTGTTTTTGGTTCACTCTATAAATCTTTGAATTCAATGCTGTTTCTTTCATTTTGAACTGAACATGCTTCCTAGATAGGAGGCAAAACATCTTAAAACTTGGAAACAAAGTTTTGTTTTGTTTTTTTCTTTTTTTGAATGGCTATGACCAGGATGACTGAGAATCTTCACCAGCAAGTGATTCTCTTTAAACTTGTCTAATACTATGAGTACTCATCTCATTTGAACAGTCTGTTTAGGTAGTTTAAACATCCCCATTTCTTTAAATTATTTGCAAATGTGTTTTTTTTAAGTGATTTTAAGTAGGTTATGTTTTTTGTGTTTGTCTCTGTGTATCTGTATTAGGGATTGAACGGTTTATAAAAACCGTCCGAAACGTTTGGTTCGACTGTCTCGGTTTGGTTTGCGTGTGTTGCGTTCGGTTCATGTGCTGCTCCTTTTT